CGCTTCAACACTCTGGAGACGGTTGAATGGTGAATGTTCAACATTTTTCCCAACTGCCGGTGCGACAGGTCAGGAAATTCCAGGTGTTTGGAAAAAAATTGTTCTCTCAACTCGCATTGGTTCACCTCCATTTTCGTTGAATCGAAAAACACGACTTCGAGTTGGACAGCATGTACACAATACACATCAATGAGAAAGTGTGCAAAATTTGGTTGATTTTTACCCAATGGTAAAAAAGTTATGCCCTGTTGAATGTGTCGCAATAATTTCGTGTTCGCCCTTTAAACCTAAGATGGCAGCTCAATCAACACGATGTAGGTATCGCGACCCTGGTACGGTAGCATACTGAATTATAAAAGTACTAAGAAAAATGAAGTAAGAAGAAGAAAAAACGAACGGAATTTTCGGCAACTAACCCAACGGCAACGAAATAAGGACAATGAATGGAAACTCGCTTCTTGGGATGTCAGAACGTTCAATGAACCTGGACGAGTGGGCCTTCTGGCCCGTGAACTGCAAAAGGTGAATGTGAGTGTGGCTGCTATTCAAGAAGTACGGTGGCTTAGATCTGGAGAACGTGAATTCAGGGCGGTAGATCAAATACCATATCTACTACAGCGGTGGCGATAAAGCAGAACAAGGAGTTGGTTTCGTAGTGATTGGGAAACAGATAAAGCGGGTTATGCGGTGGAAACCGGTTAGCGAGCGCATCTGCGTTTTGAGGATTCGTGGCAAATTCTTCAATTACAGCCTGATCAACATCTACGCACCGACTAACGATAAATCCGATGACGTGAAGGACGCGTTTTATGAAAGCCTGAATAAAACCTATGATGAGTGCCCTAAACACGACGTGAAGATTATCATCGGAGATGCAAACGCGCAGGTCGGAAGAGAGGAATTCTTTCGCCCAATCATTGGAACAGAGAACCTTCACTCTGCAACGAATGATAATGGCCTGAAGCTGATAAACTTCGCTGCTGCTCGTGATATGGCCATCAGTAGCACCCACTTTGCACGCAAGGATATCCGAAAGCACACCTGGAGACACCCTAAAGCCGAAACTTGCTCCCAGATCGACCACGTGTTGGTGGATGGTCGGCATTTCTCGGATGTCGTAGATGTCAGGACCTTCAGGGGTCCTAATATCGACTCGGATCACTACCTCGTTGTCGCGAAAATTCGAGCGTGTCTATCGACCGTTACGAGTTCGAGAAACCGGAGATCGATGCGTTTCAACATCCAGCGTTTGACAGTAGATGGTGTTGCTGCAGAGGACCCCCAGAAGTTGAATGAGCGGATAGCGGAAATCAACGTGAACGAGAATCTCAACAATCTGTGGAAAGCTTTCCACGGAGCGGTGAGCACAACAGCACGAGAGGTGATAGGTACAGCTCAGAGGCGCCCCCGGAACGGGTGGTTTGACGAGGAGTGCCAGCGAGTGACAGAGGAGAAGAACGTCGCCAGAAGCCGGATGTTGATGTCTGGTACCCGTCAGAACAGCGAGCGGTAGAGGGTAGCAAGGTCAGCCGAGAAACGAACCCATCGCAGGAAAAAAAGGCAGTACGAGAAACGCGTTATTGCTGAGGCGCAAGAAAGTATGGAGCAGAATGATATGCGAAGGTTTTACGCAACTGTCAATGGCGTGAGGAGCGAGGGGGACGACTCTATCTACGATGCATAAAATATTGTGTTTTGCTGTGACTAGCTGCGCGTACGCTGAGTAGATATAAAGAAGATTTATGACGATTTTGGAGATTTCCTGCAAAAACATGATGCGCGATGCAAGTAGATGCGAGAAATGAAAGAAGATTTTCCGAAGATTTATTCGCTAGGTTGAGATTTTTTGAGCATCTAGAATTGAGATTTAGATGTTTCGCCCCCGTGAGGAGTAAGGCAGCGCCGTCCCCCGTTGCTTCAAGACGTTGCTGAACGGAGAGAACGAGAGAGCATCTACAAACAGAACACACATCGACGACGATGGTCAAGCTGTGGAACCACCAACGCTAGAAGAGGTGAAAAAGGCGATACGAGAGCTGAAAAACAGTAAGACTGCGGGGAAGGACGAGCTCCCGGTCGAACTTCTCAAACACGGAAGTGAGCAGCTGCACCAGGTGATCCACCGTATACTGCTCAAGATATGGGAGGAGGAAGAATTGCCCGCTAGTTGGTTGGATTATTTCGTTTGTCCCCTCTACAAAAAGGGACACAGACTGGAGTGCGCCAATTACAGAGGAATCACGCTTCTGAATTCGGCGTACAAAATATTATCACATGTTCTGTTCAACAGATTGAGACCGCTTGAGGAATCCTTCGTCGGCGAATACCAGGCTGGTTTTCGTGAGGGTCGATCAACGACGGATCAAATGTTTACCCTGCGTCAAACACTTGAGAAGTTCCGGGAATACAACTTGCAGACTCATCATCTGTTCATAGATTTCAAGGCAGCGTACGATTTAGTAAAGAGAAACGAGTTATGGCAGATAATGCAAGAAAACGGTTTTCCGACGAAACTTATTAGGCTGATTCGTGCAACGCTGGATGGTTCGAAATCATGTGTACAGGTTGCAGACGAGATTTCGGCCTCGTTCGTGACCTTAGATGGGTTGAAGCAGGCAGGGAGATGCTCTTTCGAACTTGCTACTCAACATCGCCCTCGAAGGAGCGATTAGGAGAGCTGACGTGCAGAGGAACGGTACCATCATCACAAAGACGCACATGCTCCTTGGTTTTGCGGACGACATCGACATCATCGGAATCGACCGTAGAGCAGTGGAAGAGGCGTTCGCGCCTTTTAAGAGGGAGACAGCGAGGATTGGTCTCACGATAAATTCTACCAAAACGAAGTACATGGTCGCCGGTAGAAAGCGTGGGAGCAATAGTGGTGTTGGTAGTGAAGTGGTGCTAGATGGCGAAAAATTTGAAGTTGTGGACGAATTTGTTTATCTTTGTACTTTAGTGACGTGCGATAATGATGTTACCCGCGAGGTGAATAGGCGTATTGCAGCCGCGAACAGGGCTTTCTACGGGTTGCGTAGCCAGCTGAAGTCCCGCAGCTTGCGTATGAAAACGAAATTCGCGCTGTACAAGACGTTGATTCTGCCGGTAGCCCTTTATGGCCACGAATCATGGGCATTGAAAGAGGCAGATCAGAGAGCTTTCGGTGTCTTCGAGCGTAAAGTACTGCGAACAATACTCGGCGGTAAACTGGAAAATGGCATCTGGCGGAGTCGCATGAATCACGAGTTGTACCAAGTATATAACGGCATGGATATTGTGAAGCTTATAAAACACGGCAGGCTACAGTGGGCTGGGCATGTGGCACGAATGCCGGAAGAGCGTCAAGCGAAGTCAATATTCAGCAGGGAACCCGGAAGAGGACGTCGGCTTCGGGGTAGGCCACGCACGCGTTGGCTTTGTGCAGTTGAGGAGGACATTAGGTCCTTGAACGGAAGCGATTGGCTCAGGACCGAGACCAATGGAGACGGTTACTTCGTTCGACGCAGATTTGAATTCAACGAGTCGTCGCCCATCAGGTACTCAGGTAGGTACCTGTGTTGTTTCACTGGATTTTCCGGTTACTTTCAACTGTTTACTTTTACACTTGAAATAAACATGACCGTCGTTCGATTTGACAGTCTGGAATAATTTACAGAAGTTCGGTAAACAAATTTCTAACATGCAGATTGTCCGGTATCTTTTTACCGAGTTCGGTGTTTACCTAGATTTACAGTTCGTACTGTAATATTTCTCACTGAGTTCATCAGTTTAATAGTACGATAAAACAATACCGAATAATGGTAAAATTATTTTTGTTAATTGAAAAATCTGTATTTTCCGATTATTTTCGATAAAAAATATCGAACAAGGAAAACGTAGCTGAGTGTGTATGCTCCATAATTTGTGCGACGTAGCCTTAGCATGAGGTTGTTACGAAGCGGTCGGGGTTGAACATTCAGGTCGATTTGCCTCATGATAGTTTCGCAATCTGTCCTTCCCTACAGGATTCGGCGATGATTAGGGCTCTGCTTGTAGGTTCTAGGTCGATAAGTTGACAACGGCTTTCGTAACTCGGTAATCGAAACAGATCATTCCAAGAAAATCTACGTAGCGCAAAACGAAGAAAGCGACATTGACCAGATTCGATTCTCTCGGCACCGTAATTGTAGTTTGGGTTCCAAACTGCTGAACAATACTCAAGCGTCGATCGAACAAGAATAGAAAGATTTTGGACAGCAGATGCCGTTGAAGTTTTTAGCCATCCTGAAAATGAACCCTAATAGAGTTTTAGACGCCTTATCGACAACATATTCAATATGTTGCTTGAATCATAGCTGCAAAATCAAGATCACACCCAAGTCTTTCACCTAACTCAAGTGTTCGATTGTCGAGCGAAGCAGGTCATAGCTAAATATTATCGGTTGTTGTATTCGTGAGAACGTAATAGCGGAGCATTTGCCTGGGTTCACTACCATTCCGTTTAAACTGCACCAACTAGCGAATACATTAAGCTGACGTTGAAGAAAGTGACAGTCAGCGATCGAGTGGATTCGTAGGAAGATTTTGAGATCATCTACATACGATAACCGAGAAGCTTCAATATAGTAGAAAAATCAACGATCGCAGGTGACTTCCTCCTGAAGTGGCGAAGAAGCTAGGTGATCTGCAATCTTCTCAGTAAAATTGCGGGTTCTTATAACAAATGCTGAGAAATTCAGGGCAGTATAGAGAACTTTAAGGAAATCCCGAAATCTTTTGGGCAGTAATCTTGGCGAAAGATTGAGGTTCGGCCGCCAGATTTTGATGTCAACCTTTGGAACCTTATCCACTTCGGCATTCAGTTGACTGTAAGCGTAGAATCGACATCGGAAAAGGAAAAAAAAAACTATCCTGGGCGTGTCAGTTTTTACCTATATACATAGCTTCGTGGTATTCAGCGACGGTCTCCCTTCGGGCGTACAAGGACAAATTTCTTTCCTAATAACTTATCTTCCTCAGCGGAATGTTTGCCATTTTCGATTTTATTTTTCCTTTCTAATGCTTATATGCCTTCTTCAGCGTGTGCCAATATTATGCAATAAGTATCTATAACGTACGCATATCCGTTGCTATTTCATTTTACTTACAAACTGTGCAATCATCTGACTATATCCACACGATTCAGGGTTGTTAGCGGAAATCACATTTCTCTCAAAAGCAAAGATGTTTATGTTCGTATGATCTAACAAAAAAAAATGATTCCTGTTTCTCCGAAACAGATGCTCTTTGGACTAAACGAAATTCCGTTGTAAATTTACTATAAACGTAATTAAATCTGGCTCAAGTGGCAACGAAATAAACTCTTCAATATTGTGTTCACTAATTCCACGAAAATTATACAATTGTATAGATTACAATTTTGTCAGTACTTTTCATATACTTAGAACCCTAACGTGTTTTGAACCCTTTCTAATGTAAGGTAAGAATAAATATACCTCTAGCTAAACGCAGAGTTTCTATACACGATCGTAATACATATTCTAGGTAATTTGATATACAAGCAGGTTCCCTATACCCTACCAAGAGGATATATCCTGTTCCTCATCTGACTATTTAGTATTGTTGCTGCTATGAATATTTGTTTGCTCCTGTTTTTCAGACACTATGTGGTATAAATATTAGTTTTTGATTCATCTTCGATTCGACTCACTATGTACACCTACACTGCGCTTACCATTTAGATTATTAGATAGGTGCAAAATTCAATGATCATGTCACGCAAACTCCACATAGGATAGGGAGGAAATCACACTTACCAAATACATCGACAACACCACAAAGGCGTTTACCTAGCGCCGTTTCAGCAGATTTGACAGCGTTCGTATGTGCTTGATCAGTTCTGATTCCATGTTGAACGCTTCGGCATCTATCAGCTCCTTCAATGTTCCCAGCTTTGGCATGTGTTTGATATCCTTGATGTTAAGCAGCTTTTGGAATACTTCAGTCCAGACATGCTTTTTAAGATATCTGTCGATGGGGAAAGGAACGGTTAGAGTTATATTCCCGAACAAGTTATGACAATAGAAGGTACCTTGGCAGTTTCTGTTTGATGTCCCAATCGGAGTCGTACTTCTTCGTCAGCTGCATGTATTCACCGAACAGCATCACGTGGATCGTTCCCGCCACACAGAACAAATCAGTCTGGAATGACCACGGTCGGCCTTCCTGCATTTCGATGCACGTGAATCCATCTGTCTGTATAACCTGTTGTTTGGGGATAGAATCGGTCAGAACCGTGCATGGGATATCCTGGGTATGTGCGCTGCAGATGATGCTTACCTTCTTGAATTGCCGCTTCTTTTCGAAGAAATTCATGTCGATGGCACAACCAAAATCTATCAACCGGAGTGTGGGTATGTCAGATTCCACTGTCGGTCTGAAAATAAAATGAAAGTTAAAGTTGCAGCCATTTGATAGTTTGTTTAAAGGTTATTTTGTTAAGGACGCTATTGACGGAATCCATTTTCCATACAATTTGGTTTTACCACTTCGCAATTACACGGGCACACATCTGGCGATCTACTTAATGGACAAAGCTCAAAATGAACCCACATGTCTGTTGCGGAGAAACAAGTATCTCAAACCTTAACGGAGTGAACTGACAATGAATTATATTTAGAGTAATTACGAAAATATGCAAGATATCCTGCCATATTTTGAGCTCTCCTTCCTGGGAGCCGACTTGATTTCGGCTTTTTCCCGTGTTCCTTTTTCGTACTTCCATAAATCCAGACCTTTGTTATAAACATTCGTCATTCAGGTACTTGAACTGGCGAATCACATTCTCTGATTGACCGTCAAGCAGTACAGTTCGGTTTTTACTCGCTCTCTCAAGTTGTTCACTAGTTCGTTGCGATAGTGTTCGCGTTTCTTTTTTCGCGGTGTTTGGTGAAGCATCGTGCGACTGCAACATGGGAAACCGCCGCGTGTTGACGCGACAATTATTCCGGCCGGGAAACGATCCAGATCGGACACCGCCAGTACTCAAATGGCATCGGAGAAGCTGTTGGCGAACAATAGTTACGCGATCATGACAAACGGCGATGAACCGAAGGTGGAAAAGAAGGAGAAAGTTCCACCGCTTTACGTCAAAGTACTCCCGGAAGGTTTGCGGGATAAAATCAAGTTTTGCAAAAGGAAAAATCTCAAATCCACCATGCGCCTTTGCACTGAAGGCTAAAAGCTGGTAGTACCAGCGATGAACCACTGCAGGGTCGTCGAGACGTTGCTGAAGCAACAAAATGCGGAGTATTTCTCGCACGACCTCGAGGCCGAAAAGCCTCTCAAGGTAGTACTGCGTGCCTCCCCGACATTGAACCCGACACACCGTTTAAAGAAGGAGAACGGACTCAAACCGATCCAGATTTACAAGATGAATCGACATGACGTCACTCGCAAGTACCGTGACAAGCTGTATTTGGTCCACCTAGAGAAGAACTCAACATGTATCAAGGATCTGCAGAATATTCGGGCGCTGTTCCACATCGTGGGTCGTCACCCAATGCTCGAACTGCTTGCTGTTCGGGCATGGTCAAGCTAACACGACGGCGCGAAAACGCCACTATCGATATATACATCACTACATCAGCAACATAGGTAACAACGGTGATAACATCTCGCAACCTGTCGTCTATCAGGAACTCAGCTCGGACCACTATTCGGTGGTGGCTGAAGTGGGTTCCTCAGTCAACAGGTTCCAAACATCGCGGCGAACTACCATCGGGTAGATTGGACGCAGTTCCAACACTGCGTTGACAACAGAATCGACTATGACGTCCACCCGGAAACTACCGACGAAATCTACCGGTGTCTGCGCACCATTGATGAAGCGATTTCTCGGACCAGGGAGCAACATGTAGCAGTATCCAGACAGGTGAGTAATACTCTGAATCTTGACAGGGCCATTAAAGACCTCATTAGACTCCGCAACACGATTCGTAGACGGTACCAGCGTACTGCGCTGCCTAATCTGAAAACCAATAGCAACAGTTTAAAAAGTTGTGGATCTCAGAAATAATGACTTTGCAAACAAGATTCGCTCTCTTCCACATTGTGCTACACCATTCTGGAAAATGCCCCCTTTTCCCTCTTAATCAGAATATGGATTCTTCCTTACTTATAACCCCAGTTGAAAAGGCCAATGCTCTTGGTCAACACTTTATGAATTCACATAACCTTGGCCAAGCCATTGTGAGTCCCTACGAGCCTGCAGTATCGAAGGCAATGTCTAGAGTCACTGCCACCCCCGTAGTTGTCCCTGACGAAAGTAGAATATCAGTTGATGAGGTGATAGCAGCCATTAAATCAATCAAGAACATGAAGGCTGCTGGTGTCGATGGAGTGGTCAACCTCGAGTTGAAAAACTTGGGTGTTGACTTCTTCGAGCACCTTGCAGCGGTCTTCAATAAGTGTTTTTTTTGTTGTTGCTGTATTAGAGATTTTCAGCCTTGGCTGGTTCAACGAGGGGTGGAGACTTCCGACGGGAGTCCCCCTAATTACAGAGGTAATAGGAAGGGCAAGTGAGGTTCCAGAAGAGAACCCCGAGGATACGGAGTTAGGGGATGGGCGGGAGTTCCAGAAGGGAGTCTCCATAATAATAGACTTTTAATATTTCAGAGTTGGGAATTTTCCTTTAATGCTACCTGATGTTACTGTCCTTTTGAATAATCGGGGTCATGTGGTCAAGTTCCGTGTCCTGTTCCTTTTTAGTCGCTGTATTTAATTTTAGTGCCGTCATTCGACCATTTCCGTGTCCTTGTACATGCTTTGCTTGGTTCGATATCTTCGTTGATCCGTGTCCAAGTCAGTATTTGTTGCCGAGGTATAGTTTTGAGTCCATATATTGGGCCGAATCATTGTCCGTTGTCGTTGCTTGGGTGTTCATAGATCAAAAGGAAACAGAAAAGTGTAGCGATGCTGGATGGGTCATCTCTCAGGGTATCCTTGATGCTACCTGTGATCCCGTATAGAGAACGGGGCCCGTGATACTGGGGGCATTTGCATAAGAAATGCTCCACTGTAAGTGGAATATTGCATGTATCGCACTGACGTCTGAATCCGCCTCCGCCTCCCATGTTGTGGGAGACTTTGGTATGGCCGGTTCTCAACCGGGATAGAATAGCTTGGAGTCGGTGTTCAAGTGAATCCTCCCATTTCCTGGTATCCCCCTTTACCTTCCGGATAAATTAGTCTCTAGACCGCATCCATTCGTTAGTCCAGCAGTTCCATATCGTGATTGTGATCCACCGCTTAATGTCCTGGGCCGGGACCTTTCTGGTGTATAAGTTGGACTGTCTTCCGGATGCCGCCAGGTGGTCGGCTTTCTCATTACCTCTGATCCCACAGTGTCCGGGACTAAGACAAAGGTTGTTTCCTTAGGAGCGAACTGCTGGATACCCTGGATCCAGGGGTATTTAGCTGTTTCAGGCTGAAGAGCTGCTAAACCACTGGCAGAATTGGAGAATATGACGCTCGTTTTGTTGGAGGGTAGCGTGGCAGCTACGAGAATGGCGGCTGCTTCAGCAGTGAAAACGTCGTTAAAAGGTGCACAGCTCCGAATCGGAAATTCCAATACCAACTCTACCACCGCTTCGGGATCCATCATTCGTGCTTGATGATTGATGTATTTGGTTCGGTGTAATTTGGCTACTGTTCTCACTAGGGCAGGGGAGTTGACTCCCGCCCGGAAGCTGTTCTTTATCACCGGATCGATGGACAGACCGGGTGACACCAGTGGACCCTGGCTTCATGGGGAGCTCCAGGTCGGCGATATTATTCAGGGGATCGTTCGCCTCCATGAGGAGGGACAATCCGTCACTTGTCCCTGTAGTCGTTTCTGCAAAGCCAATCGCTTTCTTGCAAACAGTTTCAACTATGTACTTTTCAAAAGGCAGCCTTCCACTCTCCACGCAGGCTGCCAACCTGGATGGGAGGAGACCTGATGTGACCCTAATGGCGTGATAATACACTGGAGCCAGTTTCTAAATTAACCTATCAGCAACCAGGCAAGTCAATTCTAAACCGTAGGTCAGTCTGGAATCAACTCCCGCTTTGGCTACACGCATACGAACAGCACGGTTGTTTATTAAGTGTATTTTGGCCAGTGTTCGGAGTAAATCAATCCTCGTTTGGCATCCCTTTTTACCGCAATAAAGTGGTTGAGAAAGTTTAGATGCCTATCTAGTCGTAGGCCTAAGATGCGGATAGACCTTGAAAGGCATGATTCTTTCACCAATGCTGATTGGAGAGCGGAGTACATGGTGGTTCATCGGACAGATGTGAGTAAAAGCACATTTTTCCACCGAAAGGATTTAGTCCACCGTAGGACAGTGTTTGTGGCTGCTTTTTATTTTCTTCGAATAGCCTTCACGGTGGTGCCTACCACACCAAGCCGATGTCGTCTGCATACACAAAAATGTATATTTCATTGGGAAGATTGTTGAAAACTCCGTTCATCCGAAATAAAAACAACGTGACTGCGATCACAGAACCTTGTGGGACGCCAGTCTCCTCCGAGAAACCTCTGGATCTATGGTTGCCAATACATGCTTGAAAAGTACGATGTTGGAGAAAATTCTTCAGAAAATGTTTAATGTGGAAAGGCAGACCCCATTCCGGATGGAATGTCAAGCGTTCATGTCCGATTGTATGCCTTGGTGATGTCTAAAGTGACTAGGTCCACGTGCTGCTCGGCATCCCTCGCGTCCCGAAGTACCTGATTAAGTGTGGCGAAATAGGTCCCAGTGCCATGTCCGGGACGGAAGGCGTGTTTGTAAAGGTCAATGTAGCCGTTACTCTCTAAGTAGAGCACGAGTCTACGATTGACCATCCGCTCCAGCACCTTGCTGACACAGCATGTCAAAGAGATTGGTCTGGAATCCTTTGGCTCGCGGCTCGAAGCTCCCTGCTTAGGAATTTTGACAACTAGACTGCTACAATACGTGTTTGGTGCTTACCTACTTCTCTGCATGCTGGAGGTTAGCCAAAATCATTCCAAACCACAAGCCTGGCAAAGACCCTACCAGTGCCAAAAGTTATAGCCCCATAAACCGCTTGCCCCATATCTCGAAGCTAAGTTGATACACAGCCGTCTGCTGATATTTTCAAATGATAAAAACATCTTTCTCAAAGAGCAATTCGTGTTTAGGAAAGGCCACTCTACCATCCACCAACTCGCACGGGTTACTAACATCATCAAGCGAAACAAGTCCATTTCCAATACATCTGCCTCGGACGGAACTGGACGTTGAGAAGGCGGTCGACAATATCTGGCCTAGTGTACAAGCTGCATCGATACAACTTCCCGATCTTTCTTGTTGAGATCATCAAAATATATTGGTCGGGCTGGTCATTCCAGGTCTTCTTGAACAATTCGTCTTTTGATACGTTCAACGTTGATGCAGGGGTTCCCCAGGGTAGCCTCCTTGGTCCTATCCTCCTCAACATCTTCACGTCAGATGTTCCTCCCCTTGCGGGTGGTATTTTGTCAATGTTTGTGGATGACACTGCCAGGGTCAAGTGATCCGTGGTCTGAAGAGAAAACTCCAACCAGGCCTCGATGTTCTACTACTTCTACTCGACTATTTCAAGAGCTGGAAGATGTTTATTAATGCAGCTAAAACACACACCAAACTATTCAATTTACCTCGGCTTGTCCTGCCTGGTAATTTAAAAGTCCACCTTGATAATACTCCCATTTACTGGTCAAGTGAAGTCGTCTACCTTGGTCTCACCCTTGATAGTAAGATGCTGTTCCGCTCCCATGTGGACAAACATCCACCATGTGCAACATCTTGATTAGGTCGCTATACCCACTTATCAACAGAAAAGCCACGCTTTCCCTTAAAAACAAGCTTGCAAATCATCCTCCCCGCCATTTAGTACGGATAGCACATCTGGGAGAGCTGTGCTAAGTGCCATCACCTCAAAAGCCAAAGGATCCAGAACAAGATCTTTAGGATGATCCTCAACAGTCCTCCGCGGACTCGAAATTCTGAGATCCACTGTCTGGCTGGTCTCCGGACACTAGGGGAGCGGAGTACGCTCAGTCTCGAAAGGTTCAGAGACGCCTGTCTGAGATCAAATCACCAGATAGATCATACGCGATCTTGCTAATTAGGTTAAGTTATTAGTATTTAGGTAGGATTTCAAATTCAAAGGGGTATCCTGTAAACTAGTTGAAAAACGTAAACACGTAAATTAGAATAACAAATTAAACAAACATGAAGAGCCCTTTAGGCTAATCAATTGGAACGTACGAATAATGTAAAATCATAATCAATAGAAAATAAACGTAATTTTACTACTATTTGAACTGGCAGTTTTGATCTTCGTTTTTGCTCGGTTGCTCTCCAATGTTCTCTTCGACTGCAAACCAACAAACAAAAATTACCCTTAAGTTTAAAGCGTTTCTAGCTTACTGACTAGCTTGGCGCAACTACTCTTGAAGATGGCTGGAGGAGTATCCGTTTCACCTTATGATAGGATATATATAGATATTACTGGTTTGACAGCGAATGCAAACAGTTAGTAGAGGAAAACAATGCTGCTGCACCGCACGAGATTTAATGTGGACCGATACATAGATTCGAGCCGATGGAATAGCTGTATAATCTAACACTCATTTTCAAAGTGAAGCACCCTAGGTCGTATGCTCTACACTCAAAAAATAAATCACATTTCCAATGGAAAATATCCATTAGAATTTCACATAACTTTCATGTGATCTCATAATTGGGAATCGCACTACAAGATCACATGAACCTTATGTGTCCAATGATATTTATGTGATTTATCACATAGAATTCATATGATCATATGAATGTTATGTGAATTTCAGATAAAAATCATTAATTTTGTTATTGGAAAAATATCATGTGCGTTCCCAATGGAAACTATATGAAAACTTTTTTCGGTGTACAATCTACAAAAAGGGTGACAAGCTGGATTGCTGCAACTATCGCGCGATCATACTGCTGAGCACCGCCTATAAGGTTCTCTCCCAAATTCTATGCCGCCGCCTGACACCATTTGCAAGAGAGTTCATGGGGGGAATACCAGGCGGTGTTCGGCAGGTTCTGTAGAATGCCGCGAGAAACATAATTTTTTCATCGATTGCAAATCAGCATACGTCAGTGTTCATTCGGCTGTCGACAGAAGCAGACCACTCTCAATGTGTGTCACGCGATTGTTTGTTTTCTTGGCAGCAACCATTGTGTGGTCCTCCTCATTGTTCTTCATCAGCAGTTCTTTCAGACAATGCGTCGTCGACATTGGAAAGCAACCGTTTCGTGATGAATGTGTGAGTGCTGACCACGTTTTGCGTCCATTGCTGCAATGGAAGTGCTCTGACCCGTTGGTGAATCTTCCATACAATGAAACCACTGGAAGCGGCTCCCGTTCTGGTGGAGGAGGCTTATTGGATAGCGGAAGATAAAATGTTTATTGTGTTGTACCTTTTGACTATAGTTTTAAGATGTATTGTATAGTGAACAAGAATCCTCGGCTATGTAAAGTTAATTCGGTTGAGCCTTATCAAATAAATTAATAAACAAAAAAAATCAGCATACGAATCGATCGAGACCAGCTATAGCCGATTATGCGAAATACATGAAGAAGATGTTCTAGGGATGAGAATGTTAGCCTCCCACATCGAGTTCAGATTGACGGTGGTCGACGAGTTCGTGTATTTGGGCTCACTGGTGATACTAGCAGAAAAATTAAAAGACACTTGTAGCAGGCCAATCGTGCCTACTTTGAACTCTGGAGGACGGTCCGGTAACTACAACACACTGATTAGACCGGTGGTCCTCTACAGCTACGAGACCTGGACTCAACATTCGGACGACTACGGGGGGGCTGAGCACGTCGTAAGAATGTCGAATGACGACCCGGTGAAAATGATTCTTTATAGCGACCTGCCTGGAACAAGACGAAGAGTCACGGGTAACGTGGATCGATCGGGTGGAAGCAGGGTGGACAGTGAATAGTTATATTGAAAGTCCCAGGTTTTCCCGGGTCAAATCTCAAAAGTTTCCTGTTTAATAATATTCTGTAAAAATTTAAGTATCCCATGATTATTAATTAAACAACCAAATGCAAATTTATGATAATATGGTAAATGACGGCTTCGGCAATACCTCATTCTATTATCGTCAAAGGGGAAAACATCGTCCTTGATAGCTCAATTTTGGCAAGTGGATACATTGTGTTTCAGAGCATCTATTGGCCAAATTTGAGTGCTCTAGGACTTTGTTTGCCCACCTGACGATAATCGGTTAAGGTATTGCCGAAGCCGACATTTCCCCTACTTGTGGGTAATTTTTTTTTCCTTGATTTGTTTTCAGTCGATCTTGTTTTTCGTGCTGAGCACCAATTCTACCGACGCCAGGGAGGCAGCTCCCACGCCTGGGCCCTACATATCAACCCATCAGCTCATGAACCGGGGACCAACGGCTTTACTTCCCTTCCGAAGGAAGGCGTGATCAGAGATGTTATGTCTCAGAACATCTCGGCGGCGCCGACTGGGATTGAACCTAGGCCTGCTGGGGTGAGAGGTAATCACGCTTACCTAAATTATCTTTTTGATATAGGGTAAATGTCGGCTTCGGCACCCACTGACTGTTTTCGACAACCAAAATGTAAACGTCGCTTCACTGTTTTTTTCCCATCAATAAACCTCGCTGGATGTATTTAAACGATTCCTTAGTCTTTCAGCTTCAATCTGATTCAATTTTTACGACTGAGCAATCGTTATGCCAGATGTTTCTTTAAATGAAATATAGGTACGCACTACAAAATGCGGCTGATTTCGAGTTGCCATCCAGGGTTGCTTCCACTCACTTGCTATAGCAAAAATGTTTTTCGGAATTATAAAATCGATAGATGTTATTATGATATTTTGTACTTGTAAGTTAAAAGGGGAGGTTACAAAGTATGTATTTGACACATGAAATCTATCAATTTCGCTTTCAGAGTTTCACAATCAGCGAATTTATGATTCGTGAGCGTTCACTCAGAGTTAGCGCTCGCGAGTCGTAAAATCGCTGATTGTGACTATCTGAAAGCGAATTTGACAGGTTTTATGTGTCAAACACTAGCCTTTCAACCTCTTCCTGTATCTAACAAGTACAAAATATAATAACAACATCTAATGATTCCAAAATTCCGAAAATCATTTTTTTATAGCAAGTGAGTGGAAGCAAGCCTGTTGCCATCAATTGATTCATGGGTGAGCTAGCATTGAAAATATGTTTGTTTTCAAAATTTTTGGTGGAGACATTTTTGCCCCACCCCTAACAGTAGATCATGAATTTTTTTTTTTTTTTTTTTTTTATTTTAGTCACTTTAACGCTCTTGGGTCATTCGTGACTTGTCCGGGGGTGAGATTTGAACTCGTGACTTTGGCGTGATAGGTATGGATGCTAACCACTACGCCGGGGTCGCCCCCTAGATCATGAATTGAAAATGCGAGGAACATTCTAAGAAACTGCATGGAATTTCGTGGACTTTTGCTAAGAAAGTTCAAGGATAATGCTGTGGAAGAACGTATTTTATCTGAGAAAACAGTTTAAGAGAGTTCAAACAAGCAAAATGGTGAAATGCTGAAAAATATCTAAGAATATGACCAACGTCTCTCGTTAAACACTCACATTTGCATCAGCAGAAAATTGTCGGGCTTGATATCGGCGTGGACGATGTTACACCCATGCAAGTAGTCCACAATCGACAGGATCTGGCTGCTAAAATGCATAACCAGCGATTCGTGCATCACCTGTTGGAAGGAAAGGAAACAAAATCGAAATGTGAATCCTGAAATTCATCGTTGATTGGTTTACCTTAGTGGTAGCCGTTCGTATCTTATTATTAATATCCAGCAGAGAACCATACTGCGAGAATTCCGACACCAGAACGCTAGCATTCGGTGCAATCACAGCCGAGCATATATCCATAAAACCAGGTAGCTGAAAATATAATAAAAATTGAACTTGATGAAAATCCAAGCTACAGTGGCAACATGACAATTCCGACTTACGATATCAAGATTTTTGATCCGTTTCTTCACTTCTGTGCAAATGTACAGCTCCCAAGTGTTGGCCGGTTTCTGGTACTTGATGGCAACCACCGCACCAGTCTGCCCATTCACCGCTCGGAACACGGATCCATACGAGCCCCTGCCAACTTCCTTCTCGATACTGTACACAGTTCCTCCGAGCGATGTCGTTTGCGACTTGATTAGTTTAGGTAGATTATTATTTACAATCTTGTAGTTATCCACATTTTCCCGCGATGGGAAATCTATCTTCGTGAGGAACGCCTTGCACAATTCACTGCTGAACGGATCCAGGAATGGTTTGCCCAAGTGCGTATCGATAATGGCCAAAGCTTTCTCCTTCCGCCGTCGGTTAGCTTCCTCATCCTGTTCGGTCTGGAAGTAGCTATTCTCCACGACGGTCGAATTCATCGAGTCTTCATTCTGGCCGAACGAGAGATTCGATTCATGTTTCTTCAGAAACCGGAATGACCCTATGGGCGTCGAAGTTTTCGAGACTCCTCCGGAGGTCTGAGTATGCCGCAAGGGAGTCGAACATGAACTGCCACCAAAGTTGAACGCACCATTGCTGTTATCACCAGCGAATGATATATTGCTGAAAGAGGTATTGAATTCGGAATTTGATTGATAGGAGGAATCGTTCTCCTCCGAATCATCATCGTCATCATCGTCGTCGAATTCTTCCTCTTCCGAATCCAGGTACTGATCGTTTTCTTGCTCGTATACTTCGGCCTCGCCCTCATCATCTATGTAGCGAGCCTTGGATTTGCTCTTATTTTTCTTCCTCTCGATTCCCGGTGAAGAATCATACGACCGAAACGAATCGTCGTGTTCCCCCGAGAGTGAAAGCAGCAGGTTGGCATCGTTCACACGATTAGCCGGAACAACAGTCGCATCCGGATCGCATTTGGATTTGGTTTTGTTAGCAGCTGGCTTGCTTTTCTTGCTGGTGGATTTGTTCCGTTCCGTAGATGAAGCCGTAACATTCTTCCGCTGCTGCTGCTGTGGCTGGTGATGTGCCACGGAATTGGAGTTTGTTGCCGTTCCGGAGGGAGGAACTTTTTTGGTTTTGTTGCCGGAATCATGGTTCGCAACCAGGCTAGCGGAGCTAACAGTCGGCTTCGGTTGCTGGTTGAGGCCAGGTACGTTGACTGGACTAGGTGCTGCATAGGAGGCTTTCTCTTTTTTGAACTTGATAGTGATGGTTTTGCTCTTGCTCGTTCCATTCTCAGCTGACGTTGAGAAACGGATCGTGGATGCTTCGATTTGTTCTTCAAAGTCATCGCAGCTACTGAATGTGCCACTGTTAGCGGAGGCCATTGGTTTAACAGCGATGGGTACTGCAGGTGGTCGTAACGGAGGTTGTGGGGGTTGTTTAGGCGGTAGAAGTTTTGGTGCTTGCTGAGCGGAAGGCGGTGGCCTTTGGATGGGCTGAGTAGCTGGTGTTGGCTTGGTTGGTGGTTGCAGAAGAGGGGTTATGGGTCTAGGAACTGGTGGCGCGGGTTGAGGTGCAGGTTGAAGCGCAGGTTGAGGCGCAGATTGAGGTGCCGGTTGAGGTGCAGGTTGAGGTGCAGGTTGAGGTGCAGGTTGAGGTGCAGGTTGATGATACATTGGTTGTTGGATAGGAGTTTTGGGTCTAGTTTGAACGTGAGGTGCGTAACCTGGATGGGGCTGCTGTTGCACGACATGATGCGGTTGTTGAAGTTGCGGAGGGGGTGGAGGCAGTGCTGGCTGCTGCTGGTGGGGATGTTGTTGCTGTTGTGCTGGTTGCTGAGGGGGGTAATGATGAGGAGATTGTGCCTGCACAGGAGAGGCATGATGACCCGGTTGATTGTGGGTGTAATTCTGTTGGTTGTAGCCCCCATATTGACTATTTTGGTAAGGCGAATGTTGTGGATACGGGGTCGTCGCCGGGGCCGGATTTTGAACGGGGTGCTGAATAACCGGAGTAGCAACTGGAGGTTGGTATTGACTTTGTGGCGGCTGTTGTTGTTGCTGTTGCTGCTGCTGTTGTTGTTGCTGCTGCTGTTGTTGTTGCTGCTGCTGTTGTTGTTGCTGCTGTTGTTGTTGTGGAGGATATGGATGGCGATATGGCGAATAGCTGTTTTGTACGGGGGGTAGCTGATTCGGTTGTACCGGCGAATTTTGAACCTGTTGGACAGGCTGGTGTTGGGTTGATGGATTAGATGGATGGTGTGTTGGTTGATGTTGCTGCTGAACACTGTGTTGAGGCTGATGATAATAGTGATTCGCATGCTGTATCGTCGCAACCGGTTGGGGTGGAGCATGAACGACCGTGGATGGTCGGGTAGGTTGTTGATACTGATGAGCTGTTTGCTGTTGCGGTTGCTGTTGGTAGGCAATTTGCTGATACTGTTGAAAAAAAACATACAAAGTTTGTTTAACATTAGCATAATACCCATATTAATTTATAGTAGGTAAACATGAGCTCACGGTGTCTCTGCATGGAAAGCTGAAGAAAAAGTTGAAGGCAAATCAATGTAAATGAATGTACGAAATGAACGTAAATGTTTTTCGATGCCTGGTTGAGTCTGCTCATAAAACTTAACTTGTGGCATGGTTCTTAAGTTGTTAATTACTTTTCAAAATTATCTAGATGATTTTTGGGATTCTTTCTGAAATTCCCCTAAAATTTTCTTCACAACATTCTAGGATTTCTCTACAGAACACTAAAGATTCATTCAAAGTGCTTTTAGGTTACTTCATACGCGAAGTTTGCGATTTTCAGAGTTGGTTGGAAATGCTATCTAACATGAAGCTTTAGTGTGATAATTTATTAGCTAGCGAATGGCCTAAGAAGAGGGAAGGTAGATAGTTCCGTTAGCGTCCGGCAATATGAAAATTGAATAGAAGCTGAAAATGAGCGAAGAGCCATTAATGCGACAGTGCAAGCAAATATATTATATTAACAATATGATCCACTCTTCCGCTTAGCTGGCGAACCAAATTTTTAGCGATGAAAGCACCTCTGTGGCCAAAAAGGCTACCAATGTATTTGTTTATCGTCACGAGGGGTAAACTAAATGAAAATTTGTTTAAAATTTCAAATAAATGTATTTCAACATATTATTGTATTTGATGACAACAGTAACATGTCAGACCAATTTTAAAGTAATATACACAATGTAATTAATAAAAAATAATGCGACTCTTACTTTTGTAATAAGTGCTATATTCGCACCCCTCGATTGTTATTGAATGATTGTTGCTGACCTTTTTCAACGCTAGATGGTGCGTGAAGCAATATTTTGTGGGTCACCATTGCAATATTTGGAAAAGGCTTGAATGGATCATATTGTTAATATGATATATGTGGTGCAAGTCAAACGCACACTCTTTGCCTAGCCCGTACGATGTACGCGGAGATTTGAAGTATGTCTTCAAATCTACAGGCGCGAGTGTGCGCTTGACTTTGCTCAAATACTGTCTGCGACTGTGGAATAGTTCTAGCGACGTTTCATCACTACCTAAAGCCCCACGTTGCCGGACCATCACCACACCATCGACTGGAAATTAGTGGGTGGAAGCAACCCAGTTTGCAAATTCAGAATATTTATTTGCTTCTGATTTTTTTTTTTCATTTGAATACCGCGGTTGAGAAGCATGCAAGTGGCTCCCTGCTAAAAAATAATGCAAAAGGATTGAAATATACTTTTAAGTTTTGTGTTATTCATTTCTTGACACTGAAGAAGTTTGCAAATAGTAAACGAAATACGTATCTGTTATAGTTTAAAGTGATAGTGAAAGTAAATTAGTGAAAGTGATACAAAAGTAGTAGAATTAAAAGAAAAATCAACGTAAAAGTACACAACAATCAGATAATCTAGAAAAGACATATCACCTGGCACCGCCTACGGTAACACCTATAAATATACAGTAACACACATACCTGATTGGATGGTGCATAGTTCCTTTGCGGCGCAGCTACAGCAGGATGCTGTTGATGATGAACATAATTCATCTGGTGTTGCTGCTGCTGTTGATACTGCAGCTGCAACTGCCGTTGTCTCTCTTGGCGTTGCTTTTCCGCCTCCAGCTGTTGCTGTTTAAGCTTCTTCTGCTCTTCCAGTTCCTCTTTCCGGCGGTACCACTTTCGGGCACGGATTTCCTCCAACGAAAACTCCATCGTTGGCTTACCGGTAGCTAGATCCGGATATACAACTCCCTTCGGATAGCAACACTTACGATTGGCCTCGTACGGTTCTTCCAGACACAACGGAACGTCCCATCGTTCGTGATTGGAACGAGCATCTCGAACGAAATTCACCGGTAATCGAATGCCAGCCGGTTCGGTGTCAACCTTCTCTTCAGGTTGTTCTTCCAGCGTGTAACCGGTGAGATTGGCATCGTCGTACACATAGTTCAGCGAGGACGATATGACGTACGCCGAATTGTTCAGATTACATTCGATGAGACTTTCGTTTGCCAGAGCGTAGTTTTCGATGATGACGGACTTGTGGACAGGTTGGACTGTGGGTTGGGGTTGCGGCGGAGGTTGAGATGGAATCTGAGTGTGGCGCTGTACCGATGTCTGAGGTTGTACTGGTGCTGTCGGTTGAACAATAAGTTGAGGATGAGCACGCAGTTCTGGCTGTAGTTGAATCGGTTGCTGAACTGTTGGAACATGAATCGAGCTTTGTGCAGGGATCGAATGCGGCTGAGATTGCGTTATAACGGTTGCTGGAGCTTGTGCAATCATTGGATGCTGCTGATGATGATGATGCTGCTGCTGCTGTGGCTGGATTTGTCGTTGCGGATGATGCTGTACAGGAAGGGGTTGCTGTACTACTACAGATTGAGGCTGGGATGGTACTGGCGCCTGTGAGTGTATCGGATGATGTGTATGCTGTTGATGTTGCTGCGGTATTGTTGCGACATGTTGGTGCTGATAATAAGCGGCATTTTGTTTATCCTGCTGATAGTACCGTTCGGCTGACACAGTAGAATTAATTGATGTTGCAGGAACCGGTGCAGTTACTTGTTGTGGTTGCTGTTGTTGTTGTTGGTAATAACTTGTGTGATTGTAATGTTGCTGCGCCTGGAGCTGTGGTTGTTGCTGAGGCTGTTGCGGTTGTGGCTGAACAGTAGCTTGAACGTGAATTTGAGACTGATGCTGTTGCTGCGGCTGCTGCTGAGGCTGTTGCTGAACTGCATAATAATCTCCACCCTCTGTTTTCAATTTTTTCTGCGGTGGACTCAGCGACGTAATCTGCTGTCTCTGCTCAACCAACGTATTTGCAGACCTTTTCTTTGACGATGCATCATTGTACAGCATTCTTTGTGCTATGGACAGTCGAAACTTGTTCTGAGCTTCCTGAAGTTCTTCCATTGGTTGAGCCTTCACTTGTATTCCCAGATTGAAGATGGACTCAGCCTGCTTGAAGGCATTCGCAGCATCGTAGTAGTGGGCCCAGCCAATGTAAAAACAGGCGCATTGTGTCCCGACATTCTTTTTGTACAGAAACTGGTACAAGTTCAATGGATTTGCCTGCATATCAATCTAAAAATAAAAATCAATCAGAAATAATAGTACTGCTCACGCCATTACCAGAACTGTAAACCAAGAACTTACAAATTTCATCCAAAGCTTCACCATCCTGACATCTTGCTTGTAGTTTTCAAAGTTTTCAAAAGTCGATAAGCATTGTTCCAAGATTTTCCTGAATCCTCCGTCCTTGTCGAACATTTTGTGCTGTTCCAACCAGCATATATAATTGAACCAAATATCGAGCGAATCTGGCCCATTGTAGGCCCTGATAGCGTCATCCCACGCACGCTTGTCCGATTCGTACCGATTGAGAGCAGCTTCCGTTATCTGGTGTGAGTTCATCCTGCTAGCTCAACAGTTGATTCCCTGCAGAATACCTCCGTCGCTCGCTCCGCCGGCAGATTCCAACTTGTGTTTTGATTCCCTTCCCGAGTAGATTCACAGTACGGTTAACATCGGGACCTGGGAAAGAGATCTGTAGAAAAGTTTGGCCAATATTATTTTAGTGTAAGGTTTTTTGAAGAAGCAGTATGAAGAGCTAAGAGTAGACTGCGGTGCGAAGGTTTTACGCAAACTGCTTTCAGATAAGAAAACGGAAATTGTCGAGTGGAAATACGGTGTAGAATGCAGAGCGAATTAACGAATATCGACAGCAGTGGTGGCACGAGTACTGGTTTTTAACATTTTTTTCCCTTAACATTTGATACTTTTTGCAATGACCATAGTGAAGACAAACAAAAACAAACTGGCAAGCGGAAAAAACGTCGTGACATTTCTGAACTGTTTTCTACCAGCGACAGGACATTTTCGCAGTCGTCGCCGGTGGTTTAGTGGTAAGCTGGTAAGCATGACTGCTTTCTCACCCCAATGGGTCCGGGTTCAATCCCAGCCGAGGTCGGTGGGATTTTTCTGAGGCCATAAAAATCTCTGGTCACGTCTTCCTTCGGAAGGGAAGTAAAGTCGTTGGTCCCGGCCCATGTGTGTTGAATGGGTTGCAATATCCTACGCAGGTGTGGAAGCTGCCTTTCTGCACATTCGATTGCCGTCAATGGATGTGGCAATCGATGTCAGTCGGTGATTGGCACTAGATTGCGGAACATAGACCGACGTTAAATAAAGGATAGGAGAAGAAGAACATTTTCACAGAAAGAAGCAAACAAGACCAACGGCACGACATAAATTTATGTCATGTAGAATGTTGCTGATTTCTGGCTAATTACTGCATTTATTTTATGTTTATTACATGGAATTAAAGGATAAGAATCACGGAACCGAATTTTATTCATTTAAATCAAAAATAAAAATGTTCATTCTATAAACATATGAATAATTCAAAATAAATTTAAAACATGTTTGCAGCAAAAATATATATGTTTGAATTAAAGTCAAAAGCATGTTTATTTCAACAATATAGAATTTGGGTAAACGATTTTTAGCGTGCCCTGCCTTTTTCCTTCTTGTTTACATTCGGAAAAAAATTGCCCCAGCTTTGCCAATCAACTGAAAACGGCCTGCAGCAAAACCGAAGTCATGGTTGCGGAAACCCACATAGGTAAGTGTCTTAACAAAGGGAAACGAAAATCTGAAATGGATTTTGAATCTATTCCGGATCCTCCAGTGCCCCCCCTCTGATAAAGTCATTTCTTCCTGTTCGCTTCGAGCTTTTGTCTTTGATCTTCTCTCCTGCCACAAGAGATCCAAAACATCTTCCTCATTTGCACCTGCCTTGTGTTCTTGCTCTTTCCGTAATTGCTCCAACATTTTCCCGCTCATTTTCCATTCGCTTCGAAACTTCAGCAAGCTTTATCATATTCACACAATCCTGACTCGAATGACTAATTTGTTGGATCAACTTCTTACTAAAATCAGTGCTGCATTCATCCTCCATCCTTACCGAACTCAACGGTTTCTCATCATCCTCATCTTCCGATTCCTGCATTTCCAATTCTACATTGCAATCAAACTATTCGGGATCTTCCTGCAGATCGTTTTTTTTTTTTTTCATCTCTTGGCATTCCATTTTTCTGCTTTTTCCTACATTCAAATTCTTATATAATTTAAAATTAAGTATGTTTCCTTCAAACATAAGAAGCATGTTTAAAATAAACATATTTATTTTTGTTCGCATAGTTGTCAAACCAAACAAAAATATTCACGTTTATTTTCAACACGAATATTTTTAAAATAAACGTAACATTATTTTAATTTTAAACATTAATATTACATGACTTCAAACATGGAATACGTTTGAAATAAACCTTGTTTATTTTTGTGGCCAGAACAAACTGAGTTTACGTTTAAATTTACCTCAAATATTTTTGTTTCAACGATAAATTTTTCTGCGTGATGAATACTAACCACTCATAAGCATAGATGTCAATATTATGCGTAAATAAGGGAGTTGATAATTTACTGCCACACGTTGGGCGTACTACCAACGTACCCCATTCTAGTCGAAATTCTAGTACTACGCTATGTAAAAATGAAAACAAGCTCAGGGCATTAGCGATAAAACCATAAGGGAAACCCTCAAGTTCACGTGGCCGTAAAGGCCGGTCCAGGCGACAGTGAAATGTCCAAGTTGTTTCAGAAAGTTGCTTAATATGTTTAACATTGCTATCACTATGAGATTATATGAGTTTAATTGTAAATAGAAATAACTATTCGGTCATCAAAACGAAACTTTATTTTTCTCGTATCGGAGCGAATGTTACTTTCGACATAATGAAAATTTGCTCTTGAAATACTCTAGAAAAAAATATGGCTGGATAATCGAGCCATTTTCTTCAACTTTCGTTTAAGGGCGAAGATGCTCCATTAATAAAAATAAAAACATATTACACGAGTTGACATTTGCACTTTACCTAACACTTGTTGGATGGCGGGAAACCTAAATTTATCATTCGTTTAGATTGCAATGAAAATGTAATTTTATGCGTGCAAAGATCCGCTCCGGGAAGTGTTTTTTCCACGAAAAGCGCCATTCCGCAAAACGGCTTTTCGGGAAATGGGGTGTCCGCTAAATGATTTTCCGAGCAATGGTATAGAACCCCTTCCACGCTGTATGTGGATGGATTATTTTCCCTTCTTTTATAAATAGGCTGTACTTTTGATGATTATAACTTTTGGAAATTGTATGCACTGCCCTCTGCGACATAACAGTCCCATTAGCATTTTTGGCGAAAATGAGTTATAATACATTGGAATCGATTGTCAAGTACCATCACTTTACGATTTACACGAAAAGTTTCCTGCCGGCGCCGGTGGTGTAGTGGTAAGCGTGACTGCTTTCTCACCCCAATGAGTCTGAGTTCAATCCCAGCCGAGGTCGGTGGGATTTTTCTGAGGCCATAAAAATCTCTGGTCACGTCTTCCTTCGGAAGGGAAGTAAAGCCGTTGGTCCCGGCTCATGTGTGTGTGTTGAATGGGAGCGATATCCTACGCAGGTGTGGAAGCTGCCTTCCTGCACATTCGATTGTCGTCAATGGATGGCAATCGATGTCCGTCGGTGATTGGCACTAGATTGCGGAACAGAGACCGACGTTAAATAAAGGAAAGAAGAAGAAACGTTTCCTACTTTGTTTAGAAAATGTCGCGAAAATACCAAAACTATGTTGTCCCATCCATAAGAAACCCATGGAGAAAAAAAAATCAACAGCGTTTTTCTCAGCTTGCTGTTTTAACGAATGGGACAACTATGCTGAAAAGGGCAGTGCAATACGTGTATAAAAATCAAAAGAGCAGCCTATTTATAAAAATAAGGGAAAACTATCAGAGACTGTCCACATAAGGTGTTATTTTTTTGCATAAACTATCAACGAGATTAATGGACAATGCCACATAGAACGAAAATCGTCATAATTTTGTTAATTAATTAAGTCTCCTGGGTACTACCATAGAGGTAACTCTAAGACCACTGGGTCCCGAAGAAAATCATTATTATTTTTGGCTCACTCAGTACCAGAACAACGGTCCCAAGCAGTCCCAAGCTATTTCGCTCACCCCTGCATGTTCTGCATGAATCCACACACCCCTGATGTTATCTGTCAAACTTTCATAGCGAATCAAAACAAACATAGTGTAGTAATAGAATTTCAACTAGAATAGGTTTGCTTGGGACCAATAGGCTACTAAAGTGGTGAGCCAATTTAAAATCGTTAGTTTCGAATTGATTGTTGGTACTACGGAGTACGGACTCAATGGGCTTGTCAACTGGGTACCACTGTGCACTATAAAATAAGAGTCAAACATTCAGAAGCAACAAATGTAGTTACTGTTCTTATCTATCGTCAAGCATTGTAGTCTCATACAAATCATCCCTAGTTTTTCATAACCTATTCTTAATTTTAATAACAAAGGCAAAACACATCAGGCTCAGTGATGAAAGTATAAAAACCAGCAAAGTTTGTATGACTCAGCTGAGTTTCCAATTGCAATAAAACATACATTTGTAAAACATGGGTTTAAACCAACTTAATTAAAGTCATGGGAGCGCTCCTGACTCAGAGCTTTTGGCGGGAATCAATTGAGAAAGATCAAAACAATTTCAAGCTTGAGTAAATTTATAAGCAATTTCCCTGGTTAGCAAATTAAAATCGATTGACTCCGCAATATCCACACAGCAAAAGAAAAAAATGTAATATCGATCAACGCAATTCAAACAGATGTAATAGCAAAAAGCAGATACAATATAACATCAATGGATGTTGTTTCGTCCAACCCTACGTTGTCTTTTAATTTGGTCTTCTTTCGGCTCAGGTTGACACACCGGTTACTATGCCCCGAGAGGCAACTTGCCTGCTCGGGGACTCAAAACGAACTATATATTTCACAATATTCTTTGGTTTAAATATACAAACATCACAATAAGGTATTTCATCACATCCAATTACAATCAAAACAATAACAACAAAAAATGACCAAAACAAAAACATCCACGTCTATAGTATGAAAAGTGATGGCTGCACCATACTGCAAATCGCACTGAACAGATCGTTACCATGGCACGGGGGGGCTGTTATTATTTTCTCATTCTAAATTTAAATAATATTATAGTAGAGCCCGGTGCCGATGGTACGATCGAACAGATGTAATTTTGTTCGCAAAATCGATGTACATCGTATATACAACGTAAAATTATACAACCACGATGATCGATTCACTTAATCGATTTTCTCTTTGCATTGCTACAGCTAAGCAAAACAATTTTCTAGAATTTGTTCAATGCAGAGTTGTAACAGGTTGTATTGGCTATCAAAAGCAACAGCAAACGCACCGAAAAACGTTAATTCTATCGAGTTAACAAAAGAGAAAATCGACGAAGAGAATCGATCATCGCGTTTACTGTCGAATTATTTTTTCTGTGCAGGCCAAATCTATTGATAGTTTTTACTATACCGACATTTACAAAAAAATATCTAAAAATGATTTGTTTAGGGTGGCTTTTCAGTCTCGACCAAATCAAAATCCTGTCATTTTATTTTTGTCCGGCGGTTTGGTTCATTTGGGACCTACTTCAGGGAATCAATAGTTACAGTTTTGTCGTCCAGTGTAGTTCTGTAAAACGTGAACCTGTCGTGAGGTCAAAGTTTTTCCCCATAAACGCTAACGGTTCGTTTTATTAAAAAATATTTGTATAGCATCGATACCTAATGTAACTTCGATATAACGTCCGAATAAACACGTAATTTCCATTCAACCCCCAGCACCCGTAGTTATTTTATTCTTGTTTATCAATTTCAAGAACCCTTGTATCAAAGATTATCTTGAACAAATCCTTTCCTCTGATAAACAATGGCTTTGCTGATAGCATTCAAAATAAGTTTAATTACAGTAATCCCCCGAGTAGTGCAGTGGGTGATACCATCCACCCACCACGTTTTCTTGGTTCTCCTTCAACCAATTCAGCTGATTTTCTGGTGGTTATATGGTTGACACTAATAACATACAAAAAATCCGTAGCTCTATCCGTAGGAAATAGCAGTGGGCGGACGGCACTACCCACCGCGCGCTGTTCGGAGAATTTCTGTATTATAATCGATCATTAAAAAAAGTCCTTTTGCAAATCGAACGAATCGACATACCAGCTGTGCGTTTTTCAACTAAGTTACTTCAAATACCGGTGAAACCTCTCTCCGCTAATCGCCAAAGCAACTCCGATGACCCAGCTTTCGAGCGCAAGAATATCCAAATCAAAACAAAAACATCCGATTTAGCAGTGAAATTTTCATACAAAATAGAACGCATGAAGTTCACTTCAATGATGCAAGCAGATTGCAGGCAGACTATGCCACCACCACCAGCAGCAGCAGTCAAGAACGATGATGCAAAACGACGACGGCTCACACCTGGAGGGAGAAAACGAGTGCAGGGTGGGTGGGGTTAGGTTTCACACAATACTATTGGTGGGGGGCAGGAGGAAAGCGCATCGTTCATCTTTTTCAACACTGCTCGGGCTGTCTGTCACGAATTTTTTCCAACAATTTTCAATTCACTTTTTCACCCGCGAAACCTGCGATAAACCAACGGTCGGTATGCAATTTTTATCGACGCGATGTTAATAAACACTTTACACGTACTTTTGGACGGAAATACAGCCAAAATATAGCAAAATATTCTAAATTACCGAAAACAACTCACTTTTCACTTGCACAGAGTGTGGCGAGAGCAGGACAGACGGGCTGTCAGTTACTGTCTCTTTCTTTGTTCTAGACGGTCAACTGTCAAAAATGACGCCGCCAAAGTTCGAGGACCCGCCACGAGGGGGTACTCTGTTATTCCGAATTTGTAAGGTTTCCTCACACTATTTTGAGGTTATTCAGTGACTGGGTAGATCGCACTCATTTTTACATGCTGTATGGAGTTGTCAAAAAATGAGTAAACAGGTTTTGCTCCGATGAGTGAAATCTACTCTGATTCTGGGTAAATGGTACTGATATCAATTTTTCCTAAATTCAAAATAGGGCGCTTTGAGGTTGTGAGCAGGCGATTTTTGCGCAGTGAGTCTAAAATTAGTTTTTAGAAGTGAGGCAATGAAAATGAAGCAGCTACGTAATAGCATAAAGGTAACTCTAAGACCAGAAGGTCCCGAAGAAACGTGCTCAACTTTTTGGCTCAGCTCTGGAACGTTAATGGATGTACATGGAACCGATACGCTAGTCCAGTGTGAGCCAATTTAAAATCGTTAGTTTCCACCGGTTGGTAATAGCTTGGATCAACAATCAATACGAAACTAACGATTTTAAATTGGCTCACTACTTGACTAGCCTCCCGCATAAGCGCGAACCATAAATTGACCTTACCTAAAATGGTTATAAATTGTTTATAATCCCTGCTAAACTTCAACTGAAATGGTTATGGAACTTTACATGAACGTTTAATGATAAAGTTTTAACCTTAAGTATTATAGTTTTTTGGAAATGGACCTTACAAATAATGGGTTGTTAAGAACCATTACCATTAAAAATTCTTGTTTTCTCCATACATTTTCGGAAAGAAAACTATACTAAAACCTTTGAACTTAGGGTTTGAGAACATTAATGGTAATGGTTATGGTAACCAGTAAGGTCCATTAATGGTTTTGTATCAAGAGCAAATTTTCATTACGTCGAATGTAACAAAGGTAAACAAAGTCGAGCTATCAGTGTCAATCGATTCTCCTGCTATTACACTATATACTGTCCGAATATAGGATCAAATCCCATTTTTAAATTTATTTGCCAGCCAAATTGCTTTTTGACGTAATCACCTTCCGATCAAAATAGTTTTCGATGTTACTTAAGTCACCCAATTTCTATGGAGATGCCGTTTGACTTAAGTAACAGCGCTGAGAAACCCGTGAAAAGTGTACGTTCGTCGTTTCGCTTTCTCATTATTAAAGTGAATAAATCGAACTGTTTGTTGCTAAGATGATTTCGGTGGTCCTAAAATGATGAATGGGCTGCACGTAAGGAGACGTAATTGATAATTCTCCCGAATATCCTGGTAAATACACTTTGACTTAAGTAACAATAGGGGCCACCAAACGACGTATAATAACTTTTGACTCAAAAACCAGTATTTTTTAGCATGAAAGCTAGCGATTTGCATTTGTATGATTAAAACCCTGCTAAATATGTTAAACATTGCTATCACTATGAGATGATATGTGTTTACTTGGAAATAGGAATAACTTTTAGGTCATCAAAACTAAACTTTATTTTTCTCGGATTGGTGCGAATATTACTTACGACATAATGAAAATTTGCTCTTGGTATCATCGATCAACTTTATGTGGAATATATCGCGAATTGGTTGCCTGTAAATTACTGATTACCAATTCACGATATATTTCACGTAAAGTTGAGCAATAATACAAAACCATTAATGGACCTTACTGACTACCATAACCATAACCATTAATGTTCTCAAACCATAAGTAAAAACGTTCTAATATAGTTCTCTTTCCGAAAATGTATGGAGAAAACAAGAATTTGGAATGGTAATGGTTCTTAACAACCCATTATTTGTAAGGTCCGCTTCCAAAAAACCATAATACATAAGGTTAAAACTTTATCACACAAACGTTCATGTAAAGTTCCATAACCATTTCAGTTGAAGTTTAGCAGGGATTATAAACAATTTATAACCATTATCGGTAAGGTCATGTGATGGTTCGCGTTTATGCGGGCTATTGGTCCCAAGCAACCCGGGGGCAACTTGACAATTCCAGTACATTTCCAGTGTACTCCGAAAATTTGGTGCTGGTGGTTCTGTCAAACTTACAAATTTCAGAAGCGTTATCTGAATAGGGCGAATGCGGAAGAGACATACAGTAAATAAAAAGTATTTTTAAAGATAGTCTTATTGCATATACATAATCAGTTTATTAATCTTTTTTGTGAAGCCGCGTATGTCTTTGAGCAGAACAAAACCAAAAGCTTAAACATATGATTTGTAAAACGAAAATAAGTGATTGCCATCGAATGAATCGAAACAAATGAGAATTGAGCGTGGATACTTTCGATGTTTTCGACGCTATTGCTATTGTCGTCGATGATGAACAAAGAAATAATGGTTTTGCAGCGAGAAAGAACGTACTAATTAAATGCAGTTAGTACTGCATAATATACAATTTGAGGTAATAGCTTAAAAGAGTACAACGTTAGTACAATCAACCGTATGAAACTTACGATTTTAAATTGGCTCACTTTTTGACTAGCCTATCGGTCCCAAGTACATCTATAGACGTACCCCATTCTAGTCGAAGTTCAAGTACTACACTATGTTAGTGCATGGATATACGAAATGTTAGTTTTCGCACAGAAAACCTGTTACTCACCGCGAATAAGAATCAATTTTGTATTTTTTTTACCCCGCAATATAAATATGGGGAAGTAAATTCTTTTTATTGATACGGCTTTTGTCTTCATCGCACAGCCATGCTCAGAAACATTATTCTCAAGGCTGATAATATTCAAGAGCAAAATATAATAGAAGTGACCAAAGTATATTTATTTCCATTTGATTAAGGAAGACCTCCTTCAATCTGTTTCGATTTGTTTGGATTTATTTCATTTCACCACGAAAATCATAAATTCGCTCTTTTCATATGTCATTGTTGCTTGTTGTTTGACATCCATACATAGTGAAACAAAAAGTTGGTTTCCCATAGAGAAATACCGTTGCGGCGGTGAAGGGCAGGCCCTTTGTTTACGTTGTGTGGCGACATCTACTATTTGCAAGTGGGTAAGTGAAACTAAGGTAATCTGTCACCTTGCCGGGACTTGGTCCCAAGCAAATCGACTCACGTATCCCATTCTAGTATAAATTCTAGTACTACACTATGTTTGTTTTGATCTAAGAGAAGAGGTGACAAAACGGGGGCGAAAATGAACCACTTTTCTGTCAAACGCGAATCAGCTCCTGATTGGCCAATTTTATGTGCGTAAGATAAAGATAGAGATAGATAATGATAGAGATAGAGATAGAAATAAAAGAGGAAGAAGCCAATTGTCCCCTCTTCCTCGTAGGTTTTGATTCGCTATGAAAGTTTGACAGATAAAATAAGGGGTTAGTGGATTTTCCTATGTTTCGAGGGGTGAATCGATTAACTTGGGACCGAAGATAGTACCAGAGCTAAGCCAAAAAGTTGAGCTCGTTTATTCGGGACCTTCTGGTCTTAGAGTTACCTCTATGCTTGGATGGCGAAAGCTACAAACAGCTAGTTGGTGTTGGTATCAATAAATCGACAGTGAGCATTAGACTGATGCAAAATTTGAAATTTTCGCTCCACAGTGCTCAAACGGTTTCAAATCATGTCCTGATTAACCTCCCAAAATTTAAACTCATTGTGGTGAATTGTTAGATAGATATGAACCAAAACATAAGTTTTCCCATAGTAATTTCCATATAAACTTGAAATGGTTTGTGCCAAATCAGTTTCTTACTAAAGTAATTCAAATTTTGGGAGGCTAACCAGGACCTGATTTGGAACCGTTTAAGCACTGTGGAGCGAAAATTTCAAATTTTGCATCAGTCTAGTGAGCATGCATAAGGGCTACCCAACAAACAATTCGAAGTCACAAATAAGCATACACATTGAATAAATGCTGTATAACAGTATACAATGCTGAATAAAACAAGATGTCGAATTATGTGCTGAAAAAAGCTCGATAGATGCGCCTTTATTACGCCGTTTGCTCTGATATGATTAATTCACTTATTAAAAGCTTTATAAACGTTGACTGTCTTCCTGATTCAGAACCAGAAGTTTGATCTAATAACAAACTGAATAAGTGTAATTTGCACATACATTATTGCTCTTATTCGACTGTTTTCAATTGCTTTAATAAAATGCTTTATTAGACGTCTTATAAATGTTTTCTAGCTCCATTATTAGATTTCATTGCATTGCTTTACAATATTGCTGTATAAAGGTGAATACAGTCAGCACAATAGCTCTTATACCACTATGCGTCCATGTATTAATTGCATGCTTTATAAATGCTTTACAAACGGCGTATTCATTCATTATTCCACAACAGTGCTTCAGGCTAACAACAAAACGAAATTAGTAACATAGTGGTTACCGTTTCCGCTTTCCATGTAGAAGGTCGCGAGTTCAATCCCAGCCTCAACCCTTTTTTTATTTATGTTCTACTCCTAATTAATTTAAATCGTAATCATACATCGTATCACTCACGACAACCAATTCATAGATCTATCGAAAAGAATAGCATCCTTTCCATTGAAATTAGAGCGATGGAGAGGTAACGTTGGTCTAATGTTAAACAACTACGAATGAATTAATCATTTTCACATCTTCTTGAATTAGCTAGAGTTACGGCTGGAAGCGCTGATAGGTTTTCAGAATCAAGCTTTTATTGCTTATTTAGCTGCTCATATGATGTATCTAGGATAGCTCAGATGGCAAGGCAAGCGACTGGTGATCGGAAGGTTATGGTTCGAATCCCATATAATGACATGTGTGTGTATGTATGTATATGTAATAAATTCGACAGAAATAATGACACAACAATCACTAACGAGAACAACCCTGCTCTGTGCCGTTCTTATTTTCGGATTAATTATCCCGTAGTTGAATAATCGTTTAATAAATGTATAATAGCGTCTAATTAAACATTATTTCACATGAGATTCAAGCGTCTATACACCTTTATACCATCGCTGTTTAAGGAAGTAAAGATGGTCTAATAAACGCTGAATAGTCAA